CGCCTGCTTGGCAAACCCAAGGTCATGAGTTCGATCCCTGGCACCAAAAAAAAAAAAAAAAAAGATGAATTTCGGGGCTGAGGATTTAGCTCAACGGCATAAGTGCCTGCCTTGCAAGCAGGCAGTCATGAGTTCGATCCCCGGTACCGATAAAAAGGAAAAAGACAAAAAAAAAAAAAAAAAACGGGGGAAATGGCTAACCACGAAGCTTGAATTTATCTTAAGAATAATGAATAATATTACTTATTTTTAAATCAAGGGAAATAATGATAGACCTGAGGTAGCTGCTTATGCTTCCCACCTTGAACACAGTATAAAAGTTTAGGGGGCTGGGAATTTAGCTCATAAGCACCTGTCTTGCACCCCGGTACCGATTAAAAAAAATAAGAAATTTAGGAAAACTTGATAATCTTAAGTAAGGTGGAAATACATGAATGCTACACAGGCAAAATATGCAGTTTTGTGTATTTTTTTTTTTTTTTTTTTTTTGGTCATCTAGTTCTGAAAGATTTCCCATTAAATTATTTGGGTAATATAACATGATCCTAGCAAAATAATGACCTACTACTGTCTAGAGTTAAATTGTCTATACAAATAAGGTCTCTCATGTATTTAAAAAGAAGCCTTCCAATTTGCTGTAAGTTTTGTAACCTGCTTTCTTGATGTTTCTTCTGTTGATAGCTTTCTCTCAGTGTATGTGTTGTTCACTTTAAAAATGCTAAGATTAAAATGCTGCTAAAGTCAAAGAATAGCAGGTATTAACATATTCTTAATTCTTTCATACTTTATGTCTTAGAGAATTCCTATTCTTTATAAATAGTATACATTTCATCATGTGTGAATTTGTGGTTGTGGTACCAAAGATATTTTTGATTACTTTATAAGACGTTTATAGTTAACTGCAACCTATAGTTAATTTATTTGCCATTAAAAACAAAATATTTTCTTGTGAGCAATGTAAATTCATAAGCAAAATACCAGCTAGTATCAAAAGTTAATACTTCTAGAATTTGAGTATAATAATGTAGTTACTCGATTTTGAGTTACTTTTTTCATTTACTTTGAAATATTTTTAAATTTGTATGTTAAGAAAAGAGACATTCAATTTGTTAAATAAATAATTCTCTGCATTAAGTGTACATATATTGAACAGATCCTAGAGGAAATTAGCAGATATTTTCTACTCACAGTATTTCTGGTACACTGTGATGTGAGTGGAGTTCTGTGGACATTTATTGAGAAAGTCCCCGAGACTAGAAAATCAATAGAAATATTTTTTGGAAACCATATTTGAACTACCTATATTGAAAGATACCTGTTTATTGGTTTTAATTAATTAATCTCTTGGTATTTTATGGTACAGAAAAATGTTTTCCATGAATGGATGACTTAGTATGCTACAATACTGAGTTCTTCAGCCCTTGAGATGGCCACATGGGGCCTGACATAGGCATAGGCAGGCCCCCATGCTTGTCGTCCCCAGTTATAAATGAGTTTACTCCTTTTGCTCCAGTCCCCATACATTTTATACCATTTTCCACAGGACATGATATAAAACATACTGGGAAAAAATGATATAGAGAAATGCAATTATGTAAAGTAGTTGGAATCTCCAACATAAGTTTTGAAAGAATCACAAAGAAAAGATTAATAGTCAGGTTTTAATCTGGTCTTATACATTAAACTCATCATTTTAGTTGTGATTAAGTGTTCACTTCAGGCATTAAGTCCGTTCACATTGCCATACAGCTACTACCACTGTCTTTCTCCAGATCTTTTTTCATCTCCCAACCTGAAACTCCATATCAAATAATTCCTGTTCCGCCAGCCTGATAGCCCCTCTCTATGTTCTGTATCTGAATTCAACAACTCTAGTTACAGTAGAGAAGTCATAAGATTTGTAATTGCCTTATTAAAATGTCTCCAGTTTATCCTTTGCAAGATGTTAAGGTTCATCCATGTTGTGATGTGCTAGAATTTAAAATGAGCAATATTCCACTGTTTATATATCACATTTTTATAATATTTTAATCTGTTGATAGACATTTTGATTGCTTCTACTGTTGGCTGTATAGTGAATAAGGCTGCCATGAACCTTATATAAACATCTTGAGTCCTTGGCTTTACTTTCTTTTGATTGTGTGTCCTGAATCTCAGATCACATTTTAATTTTTAGAAACTGCAATTACATTTTACATAACGTCTATACCAGTTCATGTTACAAATATCTGTGCACAGGCTTCAAATATCTCTGCAACCTAGGGGCTGGGGACTTAGCTCAGCGGCATAAGAACCTGCCTTGCAAGCGGGCAGTCATGAGTTCGATCCCTGGTACCAATTAAAAAAAAAAAAAAAAAGTTAAAATAATATCTCTGCAACCTCACCACTTTCTCATTTCCTTTTTGATAATAGCCATTCTAATATACATAAAATAACTTAATCGTGGTTTTGACTTGTATTTCCCTAATGGTTAGTAAAGTTGAGCATCTATTCATTGCATTATCAATAATAGGACTGTTTTGGGGAGGAGGTGTTTGTGTGGGGGTGGTTTGGGTGGTGATGGCAATGGCTGTGGTGACCGCAGCAGTGGTAACGATACGGTGGTTTCTAGTTTTGAAACACGGTCTTGCTAAATCACTGAGTTGCCCAGGCTGGGTTCAGATTTGCAGTCCTCCTGCCCAGGCCAGCCTCCCAGATGCTAGGAGAGGACAAGTGTGTGCCACTGTATTCTGATTGTATTTTTTTTTTAAGATTTTTTTCTCAGCTTTTCTGGCTAAAAGTCATCAAGTTTTGTACAAAAACAATTAATATAGAATTAGGTCATCTTAAATGTTATTTCTGCAAAGCATATTGGAGGTCATAATTCTTACTTGAAATCCACCACTGATTTCAGAGAATGAATGAAAAATCTACAATAAAGCAATATACTATTTTAAGATTATCAAAAAGGTCTATAACACCTTAAAACTGAAGAACTCAATCTAGCCCAGAATTACTACAATGTTAAAAATTTTTTTAAATTTCTACTTCTTATTTTTCTATCTTTTCCAAGGTATTTTAAACAGATATGCCTGCTTTTCCTTAATTAAATGCTAACTTTAGAGCTTTAAAAGTAAATCGAGCTCTTCATCCTCCATAAAAAGCAAGTAAATCTAAAAACTCAGAAGAAATGAATGTCTTGTGATTTTAAAATTACTTACTTTCTCTTAGAGGCAGGATATTGCCAGGTATATTCTTGTCTTTATAAAGAATTAGGCAAATTTTACAGGTATAAAAGAAAGAGGAAGGGATATTTGCCATTGAATCCCTTTAAGCAGAATTCATTGTAATAAAATATTTGCATTTGAGATTTTTGTAATAAGCTTTTATTACAAAGGGAATGTATTGGTTTTATAACTAGAGAAGCAATGTTTACCATTGAATTCATTTCAACTGACTTTCATTAAGGGAAAATATTTATATTTGAATCCTTTAAAGTAAGGTTTTACTGGCTTTTCTATATGATCTTTACATAGCACTTCCTATATTAATTGCTTTTAATCCATTGATCACATGTAAAAAGCAATCTGAAAGAATTCTTACTGAGGATCTGTCTTGGGTGGATAGGTGTCTGTGTGTGCATGCATGTAGTACGTGTTCAATTTAAGATAGTATGAAGACCTTCGTAGAACGTCTTGCTAAAGTTCATTGTCCCATCTTCTTATCTCTTTCAGTATTTTGGAATAGGTATAAAAATACCCCCAAGTTCGATTTTATGTTCCTCTACTATGCAATACACCAGGATGGCAAACCTATGGCATGAGTATTACTTCTTTTTAAGATAAAAGATGTTAATATATGAGGTTTTTTTTTTTTTTTTTTTTTTTTTTTCCTGAACTCAAACTTCAGGATTCAGGTTTAATTGCAGTGTTGGCACTTTACAATAAATAGGTGGGTTTTGAGTTGCAGTTCGGGCACTTAGCTCTAAAAGTTTTACCATCACTGCAATATACAGTAGGGACATCCCTCCTTACAAGATGAGGGATGCATTCCAAGACTCACAGTAGAAAATTATAACAATGTGTTAACATATCTGAATTGCCAGAATTACTATTTTTACATAAAATAAGGGATACTTGAAGACAAACCTTGTGATAGCACAATAGCCCAATATTTTAGATAGCTACTAAGTGACTAACGGACGGCATACATAGCTTGGATACCCTGAACAAAACAATTATTCTATGTTTTGGGCAAGGTAGAATGAGATTTCATCATGTTATTTAGAACAATACATGATTTAAAACTTCTAAATGTTTAGGGAACTTCCATGTAGTGGAAACTTTTCAGACTCCAGTTGTCCGTGTCTTAACTGAAACTACAAATACAGGAGTATACTTTATCTGGGCCTCCATTTCTCCCTCTGTTTAATAGGAACTCTGTGGTCTAACTGCACTATGGCTTTTTTTTTTTTTTTTTTTTTTTTAAAGATCTGTGTATCTTCTTAACTGATGTTCATGCTGTGGATTTTTTTAAATTTGTTTTTGCAGTACTGGAGATCAAACCCAAGACCTCTTACATGCTAGACAAATGCTCTTTAAGTCTGAGCTATGCCCACCTCAACGCACATTTTTAAATTGAGATCAAGTGTATTAGTTGCTTTTTACTCGTCGCTGAGACAAAACACTTGAAGCCCAAAGTTGGGAAAGGAAAGGTTTATTTCTTACAGTTTTTGGAGGTTTCAGTCCACACTCATTTGGCTCCAAGGCAGGCAGGCCTGGCTGGGCCGCAGTTCATGGCGGCAGCCAACAGCAAGCAGGAACCAGCAAAAAGCAAGACACACCTTCTTCCTGCCATTACATCACATCCTGGCTCCACCCCTATGTGGGTGGAGCACTGATACCATCAATCCAAGCACTAGACAGTGAATAACAAATGCACAATTCAAACTTGTAAGGCCTGGGGGCCACAGACATAAACCATGATGCCAAGTTTTTTAATTCTCATTTTTCCTTTTGTAGCTATATGCAGGAGCTATTCTTGAAGTCTGTGGATGAAAATTGGGGAGGTTCCCTCAAGTCCAAGGTAAGTAGTAAACTGTTCAATCATTTAAAAACAGCATTTCACAATAATAGTTCCATTAAGTTCCAAAGAATATAAATTTTTAGGACTGTACTTTGTCAGTTATACATGATTTTTCTTTTTTATGGAAATAAATTTTATAGTAACTATTAGGTTATTGTAAGTAAAGACAGCATATGAAATTTATATTTAAAATATAACATATTGAAGTGGTTTTCCTTAAGTAACCTTTTTTTGGAAAAGTATAAGATAACCTTTCCTTTACTAGATATAATTTTTAACATAGCATTCTATTGTGTATAACATTTTAAATATGAGTTGATTTTCACAAAACTCTTAAGGAACAGTTGCATTGAATATAGACTAACAATAATGACAGATGACCAAGAAGAGAATTAATTACAGTAGAATTTGGTATAAACAAGACAATATCATAGTACATACACCTTCACAGGAAATTTTAAAGGTAAATAAGTTAAAGGATAATTGTGAAAATATGATTTTCTAATGTAACATCAAACAGTGATGGAGCTTTGGACTAAGGCTTTCTGGTGTATCCATCTGTGTCACTTGAAAATCAGTGTTATCAGCATGTTTCCAAGGGCTGTGGCTGGTGTAGCCATGGGATCTCCAACTGCATGCGAGAGCAACCTGGAGAGACTTTGACAGCTCAGGTCAACCCAATACCTGTGGCTGCCACTCACCTTTCCTATAAGGAAAAAAAAAAAAAAGAAAATCAATGTTATGAAATTGAACTGATCTGAAGATAGAAACCTTTTCTTAACCAAAATACGTATTATTTTGATTAGACTTTTGTTGATTTCTCTATGATTTCTTTCCTCTTTGATATTTTTTAATATTTTTAAATTAGCATGTGCCTTTTATTGTTGATTAGAATTATTTATGATAAAATACTGCTCATGTTGCTGAAATATGTTATAGTGCTTAAAAATAGGACAGTTTTCATAAGGCCGTGCATTAACACTGGTTGGCCTTTGAACAGATTGTTTGTTCTTCCCATTAATATATCCTGCATAAGTATAATGTAGTTGTTGTACCACTCTTTTATCCCTACCAAACTAGAAACTCTGCAGTGCCCAGAATTTTACAATTTTTTACCATTATTACACCCAAAATCTTCCAAACACAGTTCCTAAGAGAAATTCAGGTTTTTTATTGAATGAATGCATTCATGTATTGACTGTCCAATTCAGTGGGATGCTCACTTTTGTTTTCGGTGGTCTTGGTTTTGTTATTTTACCTCCAGTTTCCCCAGCTTCCCTTAGTTAAGGCACTCTTCTAGATGTTTTTAATTGCCTTAATTTGTATCTTTTGGTGATGACTCACAATTTTGTACTCTTGAAGGTTGGTATACCATAGTAAAAAATTTTTGTAAATACTTGTTAGATTTCATTGAGCACAGTTGAGAATTTAAATGTCACTTCTTGATCTGTTCTTATATTGCTAATTCTGGGTGTGAAGTCACATTTTTACTTAGAGTATGTATTTACTGCTAACCAACAGAAAAAGATTTAATTGTCCACCCATGTAAATTTTATATATAATATTTTATGTCTTAATATATGCCATGAGCTCTTAAAATCAGTAAAACAGTGTATAACTAAGCATTATATGAGCAAAAGATCATTAGATCTACCCAAGTATATTTTGTCTCTTTTCATTTACTTTTCACGTGAGTATGTTTGGAAATAGCAGAACTCTGTTCTTTAACTTTAAGGCATATACTTCCTTTCTATGTCCTCATCCCCACTTGTACTCTATAGAACAAAGAGGAAGAGATACATGGGCATTTCTGAGCAGTGTGCACAGCAAAACTTAGCTCTTAAGGACCAGTGTAAATGACATGTTAGGAATCTCAAAATGCTGAAACGTTTAATCTACTTTTAATCACTTTTGTATATTTGATCATTTTGAAGTATTATTTACAAAATTACCTTTGTAACTGATAAGTAATTAACTTGCCCGAACATTGCCCAGAAATAGAGTAACAGGCTTAATAATACCTTGAATGAATTTTCTCAGAATCAGTAACACTGAGTAATAGAGTAATAGTTCAATTTCTTTAGATATTAGGAATCTCCAAAAGATGTTATCAGCCTATTACTGAGAGCTGAAAGTAAACTAGAAGTTACTTTTTATTTTTCCAAGTTTGTAGACTTTGTTTAACCATTGTATACTACCAGGATCCAGTGAGCTCATTTTCTTCTTGGAATTTCTTCTTTGGATTATTCTTGCTATTTGTAAGGATTATTATTAGAAATCTCTGAGAAAATAAACAGAAATTTTTTTGTTTTCTCATGTAATAAAATTTATTGTCTTGTAGTTACTCTTATACAGGTGCCAAAAATGTGTACACCAGGGAAAGGAAAACATGTAAATATTGTAATACTGGGCCAGGGATTTAGCTCAACGCAAAGTGCAAGGTCATGAGTTCAATCCCTAGTACAAAAAAATAAAAAAAGTGGCTGAGGATTGTCTAGAAAGTGCAAGATCGTGAGTTTGATCCCCAGAACCATAAATAAGTAAATAAAATAAAATAACACTAAATTTATTGTAACATCTTGAAATTAATATAAGTTACATTGGCCTGTATAATTACAAGACCTCAAAATGGTGGCATTACCTTCCAGACATTTATGAGTACAACAAACTACTGAAATGTGTATACATTTTATTGGTGGACTGTTTGTCTAATATATATTATAGAATTGTTAAATAGCTTACAGTTATGCTACAAAAGACTAAACTTATAAGGATGATGCAGTAATAAGATGAATTATTGATATTGCATCATTCAATAATTTTAATATTGTTGACCTGTGTGGTATGACCCATCTCTGAATAGTATTGTCATTTTCTTTTTTTACCTTTCATTGGACATATTTAAAAATTAACGTTTTGTTTTCGGCCCATAATGGTACAGAAAAAAATAACCAAAATATCTCATAATAATTAAAATCAGAAGATAAATTCAAAAAGAAAATATTTCAAACCTGCATTGTCCAATTAGGAGCCACTAACCAAGCATAGCTGTTTAAATTAATAAAGAGTAAAGAAATAGGTCAGAAACTACCATATTAAGCATCAGATATAAAATATTTCCATTAATTCAGGAAGTTCTATTAAACAGTGATACTCTAGACTAACAATGATAATAAAATTTATTAAAATCTCAGGCTGAAATCTCATTTGATAATACCTTGAATGAATTTTCTCAAAATCAGTAGCAGTGAGTGAACAATATATATTATTGAAGACAAAAGGGAAATAAAAGTTAGTCATCCAACAAGAAATTGAACCATCCTATTTTCCTAAAGATCATGTGAGTCGTACTTTTTTAACTTATATTGTTTAAAATTTATTTGGTAAAGTTTATAAGCAAACCAAAAACTATAAACAAACCAGAGCATCTGTATACAAACAAGACTGGAAAAAATGAAGATATAGGCTGTGCATTTAGTTTGATAATACAGCATGTGGTTAGCATGCGTAAGGCTCTAGTTTGATCCCCAGCACCATAAAAAAAAAAGGTGATCAGGACTTGGAAAAGCCATTGAACTTAGATTCTAACAATGCATGTTGTGCAAATTTAAGATGGCTATTTTATCTTCAACACAATATTTTGACAAAGATGACAGTGTAAGTACAGAAAGGAAATCCACAGTAATAGTAAGCTAAAACCTATTAGAAATATGTTTGCAATCTTCAATCAGTATTTACAAAATGGCTTTATTCCAAGTTCATGTATTACAGCCAATGAACTGTTACGTGTGTTTAAGGTATAGGCCAATTTTGGCAGCGTTTGCTTTCAAAGCCAGGAAAACACAGGATAAATACATGAATTTCAGGCCAGGAATTCAGGTCAGTGGCTCAAAGCGCTTGCCTGGTAAACACGAGCTGGTGAGTTCTATCCTGGTACAAAAAAAAAAAACCTTTAAATTCTTAGTATAAAATTAATAAAGCTCACTAAACCCAAACGGTGAGTGATGATGACAATTTTTCCTTGTATTCTAAAAGTTAAAACGTTCCACTTCCCTTTCAAGAATTTTTCTTCCCAAGAAGTTTTTAAATATAAAAAGTACATGTTGAGGCGCTGGGCATTTAGTTCAGTGGCACAAGCACCTGCCTGATAATAGTGCAAGATGGCAAGTTTGGTCCCTGGTACCCAAAAAGAAGTACATCTTGAAAGGATGCCATCATCATTTGTTTCCCTGGACTTCATTTGCTTTTCACATGTTTAACAACTCATGCAACTATAGAGCACATTAGATTGGATTATAGTGAGTAATCATTAAACTAGAAGATTATACCAAAAAACAATATTAAGATACTAAATATTTTCAAATATATAAAACATTTTATAAAATGTTTAAAAATTCACTATCATGATTTTGCTTATAGTTTGTATACCATTGTGAGAATTTTTCCTCTGCTGTGAAGGTTGCTTACATTGAGAAATTAAATATATTGATACGTTCAAAACTAAAGTGAAGACCAAAGTCATTTAACTTGAGGAAATTTCTTGTTCTGACTGACTGAAGACCCAATGATACTGTTGTGTTTTAATGTATATTTTTGCCATGCTTTTTCAGCTTACTGTCTCAGGCAAAGCATTTGTAGCTATTTCACATATATCAAATTCAAATTTCAGGAATAAGAGATAAAATCTTTTGGTATCCTTTAGATTATGTTGAAGGAAGGACTGTTTTTGTATGCAAGTGAATTTTTACATTTTTGATGTTCCAGTCCTATTTCTTTATCATCCTAACATCATAAAGTCTTTTTCTGAGGTCAGACTGCTTACTATCTGTCATTAAATTGTTTGAGTTAGCTTCTGTACAAACAAAAAGAGAAGGAAAAATTAACAGCATTTTTTTCATTGGTGCTGGAGATTGAACCCAGGGCCTGTTTATTCATAGGTTTCTTGAAGTTAAAGAATTCAGTTTCCTCACATTCTCATATAGCCTGTCCAATGCCATGCGCATTTAGACTCACATATTTGTTAAAAGATTCATTTACTTGTAAAATGTGATTGCCTACGAGGTATTTAATACATTTTTCTTCATTCAAAATTACAATGCTTAGGGATCTACACTTAGCAAAGAAAAAAGGAGCTGATGAATACAGTCATTATGACTCATCTTAGATTGCTTTTAAATTGTTCACTCATCCCAGCTTATTAAGTCTGTTAAATGAATGAAAATTATTAAATATGCTAGGCTTGGTTTTGAATATAGTGTTTAAGAATAGTGCAAAAAGATTTTTTGTTTTTTGGTAGTGGGGATCAAACTCACAACCTTACATTTGCCAAGCAAGCACTTACACTACTGAGCTAAACCCCTGGCCCCCAAGACATTTTTTATAGGAAAGGTAAATTCACAAAGTGTGTTAGATGGTATTTTACATAGGCATACATACCTGCCAGACAGTTAAAATGCAAGAGGAAACCTTAAGATCATTTTTTTTTAGGAATTCAGAAGTTTACAGAGTAAACAAGTCCTAAAGGATAAAGTTATAGTCTGTTTTGTTGTCATAAATAACAAAGTATGTTCATAATGACAATTCTGTGTGCTCTTGCCATCTAATTCTGAGATTTGTCCTCCAAAGCATATGTGTTGCTTTAAAATCTTTTTTTTTTTTTTTTTTTAATTTTTGGTATGGGAATTGAACTCATGACTTCATGCTTGCCAGCAGGTACTTTGCTACTGAGCTAAATCCTCAGCCCCTAAAATTTTAAAAATAAGGTGATGGAAGTTGTTTTTTTAAATGCTATCAAAAGGGCTGGAGATTTAGCTTAGCGGCATAAGCGCCTGCTTGGCAAGTGTGAGGTCATGAATTCAGTCCCCAGTACAAAAAAAAAAATGGTATTAAAAACTATCATGTAGGGGCTGGGGATTTAGCTCAGCGGCATAAGTACCTGCCTTGCAAGCAGGCAGTTGTGAGTTCGATCCCCTGTACCGATAAAAATGAAAAAAAGACCAAAAACAAAAAAAAAAAAAACTATCATGTAGATTGGCACAACTTTGAGGCCAGTGAGTCCAACCAAGACTACTCCGAACTGTGTAGTGAGACTCGTCTCGAAAGAAAAGAAGAAGAAACAAAACAAAAAAGAGCTAGGCACGGTGGCACACAGCTGTAATCCTAGCACCTAGGAGTCTGAAGTAGGAGAGTCATCATGAGTTCGCTGCCAATCTGGGCTACAAAATGAGTTCAAGGCCAGCCTGAACTGCATAGTGACACTGCCGCAAAAAGACACAAAATAAAAGAGAGCTCAGGTAACTGAAACAGACTCATTTAAAAAGATTTTATTTAATGCTCCCAGGTTTTTTTTCATTTCCAATAAAAATGGATAAATTTTTCTTTTTAACAGCTGTAGGGAACAATCTGAACAGCAGCCTGCTATGAATCATTATAGTAGTTTGCATCAGAGGTGTTTGCTTCTGTTTCACTTAATACTGAACAGGTCAATATGATTTTCAATGATTGCTACATGTTAATATACCCAAGGAATAGCCTTTCACGTTTAAAGGTTATTTCCAGTTTTCCATATTTTGTTATCAGGACTTAAATGATAGTTTCTTCTTCGATAAAAAGTCCTAGGAATAGGGGGCTGGGGATTTAGCTCAGCGGCATAAGCGCCTGCCTTGCAAGCAGGCAGTCCTGAGTTTGATCCCTGGTACGGATAAAAAGGAAAAAGACCAAAAAAAAAAGAGTCCTAGGAATAGACCCGTAGTTTTAAAAAGACTGTATCCTTTAAGACCTCCAGTTCATTTACCTAAATACCCTTTAGAAAGGAGGTTTGTGTTTTTTTGGTTTTTTGTCTTTTTCCTTTTATCCGTACCGGGGATTGAACTCACGACTGCCTGTTTGCAAGGCAGGCACTTATGCCACTGAGCTAAATCCCCAGCCCCTGAAGGTTGGTGTTTGGTCCCACAACTCACCCCTAGTAAAAATCTTTCTCCTTCTCTACTGCTTTAATCTTTAATATTCTAAAAATCTTTTATAACTGAGGTGTGCTATCAGTTTATTAAGCTCTAAAACTCCTGTTAGAATTTGGCGTTTGACTAATTTGAAAAATCAGTGTCTTAAAATATTTAGTCTTCTTGTCAAAGATATGATGTGTGTCTCCATTTATTTCAATTTATTAGTTACCTGTTTAAATTTATTTGTATTTACGTTTCTACCTACTGTTAGTATTGGCTTTTTTAGCTAGCTTGAATTTGGATGTAAACAGTTTAAATCATTTTTCTTTTAGCTTTTGTCAGAAGTGATAAGCCCAAACTGTTCAAAGGACTGCAAATCAAGGTAAGATGATTAAAATGGAATCTCTTTTCCCAGTGTTACTTTGTATCTTGCTGAATTGAAATAAGTATTTGGGTGTTTTGGACTGTTTCTGTTTTTGTTCTTTTAATTTATTTTTTAGAACAGTTCTACAGGAAAACTTAAAGTAGAATGGTTCCAGGGACTCTTTTGCCCTTACCCTCAACTTTTCAGGTGATAACATTTTCCATGGGTGTGGTACATTGTACATTGGTACATTGAAGTAATCTTGATACATTAAGTAAATTTCATAGTTTACATTACATCAACTTTGTGTTGTTAATTCCAGGAGTTTTGCCAAATGAGTTATATCTAGTATCCGCTATTACAGTACCACCCAATCTCTGCTCTAAAATTCCCTTGAACACCACAATGTTGTTCATCCTCTCTCCACTTCCAGCCACTGGCAGCCACTGATTGTTTTCCTGTGTCTAGTTTTTTCCTATGTTTTAATAACTCAATGCACACAGAATTCTGTGCTGCCATTTTATTTTTTATTCCTGTGTATTGCTTGAAATATTTTATGATTACCATTAGTAAAACTATTATAAACCTTGGAGTTTCTATGTACACATGTTTTTTTCTCATTTAATAAATACCTAGGAGTATGATTGCTGAATTATACAATTAAGATCCTTTAATTTAGTAAGAACTTAAAACTCCTGCAAAGGGATGTATCAAATTGCATTTGTACTGGCTGTAAAGAGTTCCTGTTGCTCCACATGCTCATCAGCATTAGATACTGTATCCTTTTAAAGTTTCAGCCATTCTAATGGTATCATCATCTTATTTTAATTTACTTGTTGACCATTTGTATCTTAAATGAAGCATTACCTTTTGTGTATTTTTAATTGGAGCATTTGGGGTGTTTGGGTGTTAAGTTGTAAGGGTTCTGTATATATTCTGGATTTTAACCCCTTGTCAGGTATATCATTTGCCAGTATTTTCTCCTCTCCATCTGTTCATTGTTTCTTTTAATATACAAGATTTTGTGTCCTATTTGTCTCCTTTTGTTTATTTTCCCACTTTTGGGGAGATTTTTTTGGCCAATATTTAAGAATTATTTGTATAATTTGAATCGAAGTCTTATGAGATGTGTGTTTTGCCAAGATTCTCTCAGTCTGTGACCTTTCATTTAATAAGTAATGTCTTAAATAAACAGTGTTTTTCTTTGGAGGCTGAGGGATACAGCCCAGAGGCCTCACCTAGCACACATGAAATCCTAGGTTCAGTCTCCCAGTACCCCACTCCCAGGCCCTTTAATGGAGTCTAACTTAGTATTTTTCTTTCATGAATTCTGCTTTCTGTATTTTAGCTAAAAGCTTCTTGAGAAACCCAAAGTCATCTAGATTTCTAAAAGTTCTATGATTTTGTGTTTTACAATTGGGTCTGTGATCTAGTTTAAGAATTTTGTGAAACACATAAAATCTTTGTTTAGATTTAGGTTTTTTTGCATATGGATTTCCATTTGTTCTGGCATTATATTACATTTGCTTATTTATCAAAGATCAGTTAATTGTAGTTGTGTAGTTCTATGTGAGAGCCTCTTACTTTGTTGTGTTGGTCTGTATTATCTTTAGCCAATGTCACTAGAGCTTTTTAAGTCTTGAGATCAGGTAGTCTTGAGTCCTTTAACTGTGTTCTTTTCCTTCAATATTGTTTTGGCTGTCAGATATTCTGTCTGTATAAACTTTAGAATCAGTTTTACACAAAATAACTTGACAGAGTTTTGATTAGTATTACATTGAATCTATAAGATTAAATTGGGGAAAACTGATACTCACATTGAACCATCCTGAAATGTGAAATGATGTGTCTTTATAGTTAGATCTCCTTGATTTTTTTCATAACATTTTCCTTATATAACTCTTAAGCATATTTTGCTAGATTTATACCTAAGAATTTCTTTTCATGTGTATGCATTGCTAGTCAGCTCTGTTACTGTAACAAATACTTGAGACAAATCAACTTAGGCTTTGTAAGTCTAGTGTCTCTTTTTCTCTCGCTCTTATACACATACACATATACACACACGCGCGCACAGTGCCTAATACCAGCTACCCAAGAGAGTAAAGCAGGAGGATCACAAGTTCAAGGCTAACTGGGAATATAACTCAATGAAAACCCTGGTTTCAGTCCCCTATATTCCACAGAAAGAAAAGGAGGTTTATTTTGGCTCACAGTTTGGGTGGTTTCTATCCATGACATTTGTCACCATTGCTTTGGGTATGTAGCTGCACATCATGGCTGGAGCTCATACATTGTAAAACAAAGTTGTTCGTCTCATAACTAGGGATAAAAAAGGAAACAATTACGAAAAGCCTCTTCAAGAACATCCCCTCAGTGACTGAAAGATCTCCCATTATGCCCCATTTGTTAAAGCTTCTACTTTATTTTGGTAGCTGCATGCCGGATTTAACACATGGGCCTTTGGGGATATTTAAGATACAAACTTTACTGGTTGATAGCATAAATAATGTTGTGTTTTTAATTTTCAAAGTTCAGCTCTTTATAACTGATACATAGAAAAGCAATTGTTGTTTGTATGTTAACCCTGTATCCTGTATCCTTGCTATAATCCCTATCTACGTCCATAAAGTTTTCTGTTGATTCTTTGGGATATTTGTAGACAGTCTTACATCTGTGAACAGTTTTATTTCTTCCTTCTCAGCCTGTATACGTTGTATCTGCTTTACTTCATTAGCTAGCACTTAACAGCACTGAGTTAAAATGGAGAACAAGGGCACCCTTGACTTGTTCTCTTAAGGGGAGACATCTAGTTTTTTTCACTATTATGTACAGTTTTAGTTGTGGGCTGTTTTGTTTTAAGAAGAGCCCCTCTCTTCCTAGTTTGCTCATAGTGTTTATCATGAATGGGTGATGACTTTTTTGTTACATGCTCTTTGTACATGTATTAGGGTTATATGATTTTCTCTGATTTAACGTATTAATTGTAATGGACTAACAATTACTTTCCATATTTTGCAGCAAACTTGTACATCTGAAATAAATTTCCATAGTGTATAATTTCTTTTACACATTATCAGATTCAGTTTGCTAGTATTTTGTGGAAGATTTTTGCAACTGTGGTCTACCTAGCTTGTTAGTTCTGTTTTGGATTACAGTAAGTTTTTCAATAAGTGATTAAAATCTTAAAAATGATTTATGTAGTAACCTGAGCAGAAAGATTGAAGTAATATGTAAATGATGTTTCATTCATTCATTTATTCATTCACTCAATCATTCATTAGCCCAAAGAGCCTATATTTCTGTATAATGGGTTGGGAATATACCTGTGCTAATGATTTATAGCAGAATTTACTTCTATTTCTAGAACTCACCATCCCAGAGAACATAAAACAACCGAAGTATAAGTTGAAAGAAGTTCTCATCACTGCTACATTGTCAGTTATTTGGTTCTACATAGTTTAAAATTGAAGATTTACTTTTTTTAATAAATAATGTTAGTTTTCATATTTATCCAGAGTTAGAATTTCTCCAAGCTCTCTAATGAAGTTTCAGGAATTCAGTTTCATTCTAAAGTGGTTACAATAAAATCATTATGTTTGTTAAGCCAAGGAAAATTAATGATCCTGATGGAATTCTATGTTTGATAATTTCTATGATTGTTCTTATACCATTATTCTATCTCATTATTTTGGTCTGCCTCTACCATCAGATTTTTTGACTCATCTGAGTTTGAGAGAATCTTGCAATAATAAATATTCATTACACTCAATAATAAGCCCCAAATAAAATATCCATGATACCAATGGATGTTTTTCTCTTTAAAAGTGAAAAATTTTTACTTATTTTTATTAAATCATACATAATTATTTCCTGAAAGACTTCCTTTTAAGACTTATTGTGATACTGTATCTATTACATTTAATAATCTGTTACGATTGTCTGTTTTGATTGTCTGTGAGACTGAGAAGGCTCTTTCTAAGCAGAAGAAAGTGATGGTGTCCTTCTTTTTTGTAGTATGTTCGTGGTTCAGACCCTGTGCTAAAGCTTTTGGACGACAGTGGGAACATTGCTGAAGAACTAAGCATCCTGAAATGGAACACAGACAGTGTAGAAGAATTCCTGAGTGAAAAATTGGAACGCATATAAATCTTCCTTAATGTTTTGTCCTGTCTTTTTGTTATCAAATGAAATATTACACCACCTAGAAAATAATTTAGTTCTGCTTGCTTCCATTAATCAGTCTTTTACTGTGAGGCATTAAACATCTAATTAAAAACTGAAGTGGCAATACAGTCCATAACATCTTAGGAGTTGACAAGACTAACAAAATTCATTTTTTAATAAATTTCTGTTGTGCATTTGTTGATACCACTAACAAAAGTGCTTTGTAACAGTTTTATGGTTAATTATGCAAGTGATAGTTTTTGATCATTGGTCCAGTCTTACAAACAACAGAGTTTTAAATTAATTTTGGTTAATAAAGGAGATTATTTGGGTACTGAAATAATCTGTCTTCTGCAATTAATGACAGAAAACTACAAATCAAATAAGACATACTAAGCCTCAACAACAGATTGCCTGCTCCTTAGAACCTCTCCTATTTTTGTATTGCCTAATTTTCTTTTTAATGGAAATATTATGTATAGTTTATAATAGTTGTACTGCATAAAACTTTGTAGCTTCTTTATTATGAAATATTGAAAGTCTAAGAATGAAATGGCCACAAAAACTTGCATTAATGAGGACTATACAGAAAACCTTCCTAAGGATTTGTATAGATCTGATGTATGGCAAATTTTTGTTTTTACATTCTTACCAAAAAATAGTCATGTTTAAAAATTACTTATAAACCAAAATATAAATAAAAACTTCCAAAAATCTTTCTGAATTGAAATTAATGTGTTTCATACTTTAATGTTTCAAAATGATTGTGGTATTTTTATTTACAGTGTTTTAAAGTCTTTTGGGGGGGGCAACTGGATCTTGTTTTGTGCTCCAGGCCGGCCTGGAACTCACCTTCCTCCTGTCTCAACCTGTAGTATGCTGAGATTACAGGCATGCACAGCCACTCCCAACTTAAAATTAAGTCTATTTTTAAAGCCAGCAAGAGAACAGTTAATAGATCTGTGTAATAAGAAATTCTGGCAAACAAATTGTGTTCTGCTTTGATCATTGGTCGCAGTGGGGTGGCCTCTCATTTTGATAGTACAAGGCTCTGGTTAATGCGCCACTAATTCCTAGTGGTTACTGCTACTTCAAAACAAGAAGGAGATTAAGCCAACTGTGGACAGTGGAAAAAACAGGAATTGCCACCACATACAGAAGAATAGTGGTATTGAAGGATAAAACTTCAAAACATCTGAGATCCACATAGAAAATTAATTGGCCTGGTTTCTGAACAGAAAGAGCCAGTTAAATCTGACATGGGGTTTGAGTCTATTGTATTCAAGTTATTATGAGAGATCAAAGAGACTGAAGACCCCTGCAGTATTGCAGAGCTTAAAGTTGTAAAGTCTGTGAATGAAAGGGGTCTGCCAGACCCCGCTGTTTTAATTGGGTGGTTCAAGTTAACAGCCAGTTCCAAGTGTTTTTTGCCAATTGCAATCAAAGAGCAGCTTTTAAAGAAACAGCTGCTAATTACAAAGAAAGGGGTATAAATACTGATCCAAAAGTACCATTGTATAGTCATATTCTGATATCTGATTAAGCTTATTCAAATTCACAAACAAGGATCTGTAGTTGGAATTTGATATTTATGGCTTAGCTTTCCCTGCCAAATTATGTTACTAATAACCTAAAACAGTTAATTTACCTATACATTTTTTTTAATTTACCTATACATTTGTAAATTTAGCAAAAGCCTTTTGTAAGGAACTTTGAGCAGGAACTGTCATATCTTAAGAGGATTTGAGGCTTAAAATCCATTCTAAAGAGGCAAGAAAATACCTTTGAAGGCAAATATTGCAACATTTTAGAAGTTAAGGGGTTATAGCTCAGTAGTGAAGCACTCAGCCATCACACGCATGATCCTTCCCCGCACCACAAAAGTTTTTTTAATTAAAATGAATTTTGGAAGTTAAGGTTGATGGTAGCTAGGACACAAAAGCACGTTAATGAATACAAGTATATGGGAAGTAGTGTGGGTTTCATTTGTGAGCACAAGTATTTCTCATTTGGAAATTAAAATACCTTTTGAAATTCAATATGGTGGTGAACACCTGTAATCCAAGCTATTTGGGAGGCTGGAACAGAAAGATTGTAAGTTAAAAGTCCAGCTTGGGCAACACAGATCGTGTCTTAAATAGAGCTGGAGCCACAACTCAGATCTCCAGTTCATCCCTAATACACAGAGTATAACCAACTTTAATCATCCACTGATGATAGAGGGCTCTTGGGATTATCTTCACAATATGTTACCAAAGTGTAGTGAATGCTGCTACCAAGTGCCAGCCAACAGAAGGCAGGCTCATAAAAGCATGATGTCTTCTACCACCTCTTAAACCAGATTGGGCACCACGCAACTTCTGGCCCCTCCCCAAAGTCAAAATGACTGAAAGGTAAACATTTTGAACCAATTCATGACAAAGTAACCACAGCAACACAACTAAAGACACGCATGAAAGAAGATTTCCAGACCTGCTTCAGAAAGTGGCAAAGAATGATGGGATAAATGTGTTCAAAGAAAGTAGTTTGTGGGGGATTAATGGTAATGTGTCTTAAATGTAAACATTGTATTTCTTTTGTCTCACACCGTTTACTCAGTTGTCCAACCAGCACCGCAGTTTAATTTAGAATATTTCATCACTCAAAAAAGAAATCCTACACCCATTCATGCCACCCTCCACACCTATCCCACCAGTCCTAGGCAGGCAACCGCTATTTGGATTCGATATAGGTTTGCTGTTCTGGATGTTTCATGTAGACCAGAGGAATAGCCTTTGCTGGGCATTTTTCACTTAGTGTATCTTGAAGGGTCATTTGTATCATAGCATATATTTTGCCTTTTTATAAGCAGATGATGTCCCTTTAGGGCCAGCTGTGCCTGTAATCCAGCACTAAGGCAAGGGGATTGAAAATTTGAATCAGTCTGTGAGACTCTGTCTTAAAAAAAAGAATGTTCCTTTGTATAGATGCAGCACTCATTATTTGACTATTGCAAAAAATGCAGCTGTATATACCCTTGGTAGGAGTTTTTATGTGCAAATTTTGTATTTGCCGTAGACACACATAGGGGTGGAATAGCTGAAACTTGCAGGATATGTGACATTTTTCCTGTGCTAGAGATCAAACCCAAAGCTAGGCAAGCACTCTGCCCTTATGTTTTACCTCCAGTTCCTGCTCATCCTGTCTTACCATCGAGAGCCATTTAGCTGGAATAAGCACTTTGCACTTCGCTAAACAGTGTAGACTGCGTTTAAGTCTTTGGTATTTTTTCTCAATTTCACCTGCCTTTTCTGCTTTCTGCCAGTTGTTTTCCTCTTCGCCAGCCTCAATCATGGAAAAAAACCCGTACAGTCACATGTGGTCAGAGGCCAGTGTTTAACAGTTTTTGAAAGCATAAATACATAATTACAATTAAAATGAGAGAAAAAATAGAGAATTAGAAAAGAAGGGAATTTAGGGATCATTAAAAATACATTAAAGCTTAGGCCTAGCAGATGAGCAGAAGCTATCCAAGAACAGTGAACCAAAATGCCTGCCAGTCAAGGAAGAGCATATACCACCCCTGACCTAGGAGAAAGCAATTTCCACATACCTGAAAGAAAACCAACGGTCTTGAACCCAATGAGCAGGGGAGGAATAATAGCAAATAAGGTTGGGAAGGTAAGCAAAAAAGGTTCAGCTCCTAACATCTGAACAAGTTAGCCAAGAAGTATTCTAAGTTCTTTTTAGACTAAAACCAGAAAAGGAAATGCCTTTAAACAGGAATGGCTAATCCAATAAGATCAACCCTGATGATCATGAATAATCTGCAAATAATTATGTCTATATAAACACGTGTTTTAATGCTTTCACTAATAACCAGTAATATTTTAGGAGCCTGGTCTATATAATTTTCCCCCACCACCATCAAAGTACTTTTTAAAAAATTTATCAACTTACTTTGAAGGAAAAAAGACTAGCCTAAGTACAAATGTTAATTTGAGATTTTGTTGGTCATTTATACTCAAAAATTAGAATATTTACTAGTTATGTGAGCTAAAGGAAAGTGCCTATTTCATACCGTGGACATTTTGCAATCTTTGTTTTTGTTGGATTCAGCATTTACAATAGTCTTTCTGTGCTCAGCCTCACTGTAACATACCAAGGGTTCTCGGGGCTAGTTTTACACATCCAGACTTTTGACCCATGTTCCTGTTTTTCGTCTGGTCTTCCAGATCATGAATGCATGTGACCTACTTAGATTACTCTTTTTCTAGATTTTGAAATGTATTTTGACTTAACTCGTTTCTCTGTTTCTTCCTTTGTGGCTTGAATATCTAGATGCTGACTGCAGCCCAAACTCTCTAATCTAATCTTTATATTTTCCTGCCTAACCTGGTCCAGTGAACAAGGTTAAGGTTAGTACCTTAGCCATACTTCTAGTCTAGTATCTATTACAGATCAACCACTCCAAAACTTAATGGTTTAAAACAATTATTTATTTTGCTCAAAATCTGAATTGGGTAGGGCTCCATGAGGATACATCTCTGGTTTACAAGAGTATCAGCTGCAACAGCTCAGTTATGGCTAGCCAGCACTGGGTGCCAGTTCCTTTCCATTAGGCAGCTTGGGCTTCCTCACAGCATGGTGACTGGTTTTCAAAAGTAAGCATCTGAGAATGGAAACTGCCAGTTTGTTAAGACCTGGGCCCAGAAATGGCACTGTCAATTCTAACATCTAGTTGTCAAGAAATCACAAAGCCCCTAAGCTGGGGGACACCAAAGACTTGATGGAGGAATGTTGTACTAGCTTTTTATTACTATGACAAAACACCTAGCAATGGATTTAAAGGAAGGAAAGGTGCACCTCTGCTCATGTTTTCAGTCGTGGTAACGTGGCCTATTGATTGTGGGCCAGTGGTGAGGCAGATCGTGGCAGAGACCGCCTGGCATAGCAAGCTGCAGAAAGAGGGGGCAGGAAAAGGATGGGATCCCAATATTCCCTTCCTTGACCTTCAGTAGTAAATTGAATTTCAGTACTAATTTCTACTAGGTCCCATCTTCCAAATGTTCCACCACCTCTCAATCACACCACAGTCTGGGGAGCACATGGGTTTTTGGGTACATTCAAAATTGAAACTATAACATACCAAAAAAATGTGAGGCTGTGTTTTACATCTGCCACATCTACTCATCTACAGCCCAATGTATCCGGGTGATTTTTTTCTGTTTTCCTTTAAGAATTTTTCTTACTTCAGATTTGTTTTTAGGACTGCTTTAGAAATTCTAGAACTGAGCATGGTGCCGCACAGCTGTAACCCAGCACTCGGGAGGCTGATG